ATATGGTTATTTTTTCAGAGAATGGCTCAAATTCCAGTTGTGTACGGTGAGTGGGAGATTGAGGATAATTCATGGCATTTTGTTGTTGACATGGGCAAAGGTGGAAGAATGTGGTTTTTGAACGATGGTTGCACCTTGGGGGATCTTACTGAGATGGCGCGAGATGATTATAACTTGGGAAATAAGACTGAGCTCATCGAGTTAACCTACTCACTACCAGTCTCAATGTTGCAAACTATGGCTCCAGATACACCTCCAATGCATGTCACGAATGATAGACAAGTTTCAAGCTTGATTGCGTTAAGCAGAGTGCATATGGTACGTCTTTGTGTGTCCAGTCGAGTGGAGATGGATACTGAGGAGAACCAGGAAGGATCAGATGAAGATCTAGGTGAAGAGTCTGAGGAAAATTCAGAACATTCTACCGATGATGAGGCAGACAGTTCTGATGTGAACGAGGATGGAGAAGATGTCGACGATGCAGCTTACTCTGACGGAGAAGATTACAGTGTCTACAGTAAAGTGAAAGATGAAGATGATGATGAAGATGAAGTCTGTATTGAAAATGTCAGAAACAAATATGGTGAAACAGGGAGCACGCCCATGTCATGGTCTGATAATATATATGTTAGAGCAAGTTTCCCTACAAAAGAGAAGCTGTTATCAGAGGTTAGATTGACTGCAATAATGTTAAAATTTGCTTTTAAAACACAGAAGTCTACCAAGACTCTGTTTGTGGCTAAATGTCGAGTGGAAGGATGTGCTTGGATGGTTAGAGCGAGCGTGAAGAATGATGCATCAACTTTTTGGGTGACAAAATATGTGAAAGACCACACATGTTCAATAGCCCATCGATTGGCTCAGCGTGGGAAGTCTACTCCTAAGTATATTGGCAAGCTGTTTATAAGCCATTTGAGCATCATTGATGGACTTACACCAGAACATGTCAGGGTTTCAATGAAGCATATGTTTGGCATCAAGATGGATTACACTACTTCATACAGATCTTTGATATATGCCCAACAATTGATCAGGGGAACAGCTGAAGATGGATATGCGAGTCTCCCAGCTTACCTACATTCAGTGAACAAAGCCAATCTGGGAACTGTATCAGCTTTTCATGTAGATTCGAATAACAAATTCAAATATCTATTTCTCGCATTTGGAGCATCGATTTCCGGTTTTCAATACATGAGAAGAGTTATTGTGGTTGATGGATGTCATCTAACAGGTAAATACGAAGGTACCTTGTTGGTTGCCACCGCACAAGATGGAAACTTTCAGATTTTTCCTTTGGCCTTTGGAATTGTTGATGGTGAAGATGATGCTTCATGGGAATGGTTTTTTTTCTAAACTGCGTGAATGTGTCTCAGATGGTTATCCTTTGGTGATAGTTTCTGACAGACATCTTTCTATTAAGAAAGCCTGTCAAACTATTTTCCCATGGGCAAAACGAGGGATATGCTACTACCATCTACAACATAACATAGTAACAAAGTTTAGGGGGGAAGCAGTTGCTGTACTTGGTAAAACGTGTGGCTTATGATTACAACCTCTATGACTACAACCGGTACATGGCGGAGCTGAGACAGATCAAGCCTGACCTTGCTGACTATTTGGAAGAAGCCGATGTCTCCCTTTGGTCCCGAGTTCATTTTGTTGGAGACAGATACAATATTAAGACTAGCAATGTTGCAGAGTCTATAAATGCTGCACTTAAGAAGGCCTGTGGCTATCCCATTTCATTTCTCTTGGATTTCATACGAGAGAAGCTTGGTCGGTGGTTTTTAAAACGCAGAGAGGATGCTTTGAGTCTCACAACACATAATACTCGGGGAGTGGAGTATTTGCTGGCGATTCGTGGACATTATGCAGATGCAATGGAGGTGGACCGAATTGACACTTGGAGATACTATGTGAAAGGAGGAACCTGGAATTGTATTGTTGATTTGGAACATGGAATGTGTGAATGCGGTGTGTTTTATATCGAGAAGATCCCATGTTCACATGCTATTGCAGCTGCATTAGCCGGTGGGATAGCTGTGGATTCCCTTGTATGTCCGACTTACTAAAAAAACTACTTGTTTGCCGCATACTCTGCCAACATATATCTCCAAATTTCAGAGGGCCAAGGAGTCCAACCATCAATATGTCTGCCACCAGACATTCGCCGCAAACCAGGCAGACGGAAGAAGTCTCGGTGGCAATCATGGCTAGAAATAGCTAGGAGGAAAAGCAAGAAGCCAAGGAAGTTGCACAAAGTATACAGCTGCTCACAATGCAAGCAACCTGGTCATACCCTACCCAATTGTGTAAGTTGAGCTAAACTCATCTAATAATGTCCTATACAATATTGACAGTTTTATTTACTATACTTTGTGTCTCTCACTTAGACGTCAAAAATTCACCAGGACAATAACAAGAAGGCTCCGGAATAGGAGGACAAAGCTTTTATGGTTGTCAAGAAGTCTACTATGGAAGTCAACTATAGAAGTCTAATATGGAAGTCTACTGTCGAAGTCTACTATGTATGTGATATTTTTTTACGGTTATGTTTGAAACGAGTTCATTTAAGTAACTGCTTTAACGACTTTAACGGTGCGTATAACCGTTGTACCTGTTTGTCTATGGTATTTCTGCTTATAAATTCTCGGGTTTAGACGAATTATAGTTTCATTCCAGACCCTTTGAAGATGTCGAACCTGATAAACTTCAACTCTCTTCCTTCCGACATTCTGTGGGATATCCTCTTAATAATCACTTCTCGTTCCTACGTTGGGCTCTGTAAAGCAAGGGTTTTCTCCAAACATCTAAATGAGATTTCTAATGAAGAGGGTTTTTAAAGAGCCATTGATCTATTAACTTTGACCATTCCATGGGTCTGGGATCAACATGGGAGGGTTGACGCTTTCTTTCGGCGCTGTTTGGAGTGTAGTAATCCTACAGCGCAATACCTTTGAGGCGTTTCTCTAATCTTCTATGAAGACAGCATTCAAGCAGGGTTTGATTTAATAAAGGTGTCATCAAATGGAGGATGCCTCATGGCTACTTACTCCATGGTTATGTTCTCTTTAACCATGGATGGTAGCCATGATGTATTTAACCACATTCGTGGTCTACTTCCGGCAGAGGCAACGAAGATGAGGAAGACTATGCATCACATCAACAGGTGTCCGACCACTTATAAGAAGCCTGACGAGTTTCACGAACCGGTCTTCCATGTTTTTGCTAAGGCACAATCAAGGAGTTGTGCTTGTATGAATCTGCCAAACCAGCACTGGATGGATGATGAAAGCCTTGTCGACTCATATGGTGACAAACTCTGCAGTCCTTACTTCTGGAAGTTGGAATGTGCCATATTCTGGAAAACAGTTCCTGGATTTGCAAGTGAATGGCCGCGTTGAAATTAGTTGACTCCATGTTTTATGTTTTTTTTTTGTGTTTACTTATATGTTTAAATGACATTAGTAGACTTCTGTAGTAGATTTCGCTTGTAGAATTCTTTTGTAGACTTATATTTCCGAGTGCATGTTTCTGAGTGCATGTTCAATAATATTTTACAGGATTCAGTGTTTAGGGTGAAATCGAAAATTATAAATACAAACATGTTAATTACCTATTAGACTTCAGTACAAATACAATAACAACTAAGTAGACTTCAGACGTAGACTTCCGTTTAATTACAATATCCTAAACGAAAATACAACATATTTGGCATTTTAATTATACGATAGGTGGCCAAAAAACTTCCACACCTATCATCTACCAATTGCTAAAATGACCTGCAATCACATTGAAGGTCATTTATGCAATTAGCCCAAAAGTTGCCATAAAAATCTAAGTTAGTTTAAAAAACGGAAACCCTAAGCTTTCCTATCATAGACATCCATCCCGGTTGCATCTAGCTCATCATGGCCCCTAGCACTTATTTCGTCAAAGATCTCTGCAGCCATTTTCTCCCTGATTTTTTGAATGTTTTTATCACAAAGTTCCTTTGGAAATGGCAAATCCAAAGCATGACACTCGATGTACTTCAGGCAGTACACTCCGCAATCACCACTCTGAATGTTTTGAGGTATCTCCTCACCTGGAACTCGTGAATGGGTGAACGGCGTGTAGGAGAATCTCCACTTGTCATCATCAGGTGCACAGGTCTGAAGAAGGTAGGGTATCATAACAGCAAGAGGCTCCATAGCTTCGTCAATTTGGGCGTCAGATGCATGTTTGGCTCCCGCATGACTATCCCATATCGTGATATGCCTCGACACAAATGAAACCCAGATAGCTACCCAATGGTCTTCTGTGATGTGCAACATTGAGTACAAATAGTCGACATCATAGGCCCACGTCTTCTTAGTCTGGCAGTAGATAGGTAATTCGCCAGTGTAGTACGAATACGCTCTAGGGGGTAGAAGTTTGCCAGAACCATCTGCATTCGGCTCACACTTTTGGAAGTCATTGTAGTCATGCCTCCATATAGTGCAAACATGGAGTTGAGGAAGCAAATCCGGTCGGATACAAACCACAAACCACTCTGGATGCTTGGATAATCGCAGCCTTTGTACGTTAATGTAAGCTTCCATGTGTTGCACATTGATGAAAATAAGACATGAGTGAAGTCTGCAAACGAAGTCTACTATAGAATTCTACATAATAGGTCTACGTATGAAGTCTAAATATGAAGTCTAATAAGAGATAGTAAAACACTAATCGTATCAGCTAGCCATTTTGTCGGTGTCTGGAGAATGTAATACCAGTCGATCAAAGAGTTTTTTGGGCGTCTTGGCCAGGCACTGTATAAGTGAAAAAGTGAGACAGGAAATAATACTACGAGGAAGTCTACTTACATAAGTATAGAAGTCTACTTACGGGTTTGCTTTCAGAAAGTTCATTAGAGTGGTATGCTTCGCCTTGACACCGGTTTGATCGAAAGGATCATATCCATGGACACGGCCGGAGTGAGATGCCGACGTTGGAATGATGGCCTTTGCGGTGCTATTTCATAAGAACGGGCTCTTCTGTGTCGCAGCCAGCTGTTGGTTTCTGGCATTCATTGCTCGGGCAACTATCTGAGCCGCTGCTCTGGCTTTGGCATTTTTGGCTAGTGCAACTGCGTCGAAGTCAACATCACACGTCTTCGGGTCAATTTCACAAAAACTAGGCTCGGGGGCCTCTTCTTCCTTCATGGCAGCCTTCTTTCCTTTTGCATCCCCGGGGGCGTTAACACTCTCACACGCACTAACGTTGACATTATCTTTCATCGGAGCATCATCTTTAACTGAATTACTCTGCAGTTTATTGTCACAAACAGGCATGAATATACAAATGACTACACCAATGCTATAATTTAGTAACATGTTTTATCATAGTCTGAAAATTGTAAACAACTAGTTTTTAAAACATAAATAAATAATCTCACATGGTACATAACACTATTAAACATGTTCGAATTCAAATGACATTAGTATTAAGTGTTCTTATCTTTGTGTGATCTTGTTCGCATGAAATGTTTTCGTATAGGCGGAGGGTTTTTGGTACTAACCCCTTCATGCTTCTTGGATCCAGTGACCTGCTGCTGGGTTGGCTCTACATTGTCTTTAACCTCTTCCTCAGTGTGCTTCCGACCCTGTAGTCAACTCCTCTACCGCGCGCTCTACAGATTCAACCTTCTCGGTGAGAAGTTTGATCTGCTTTTCACAGCTACCAAGACCATTCAGCATCTTGGTTGAAAAGCTTTTGAAGCATTGGTTGAAGTGCGCTTTCATAGTAGCGACAACTCCGACCCCTTCATCACCAACGAAAGAGGCAGCAGAGGCAGAGGCTGTGCAGGGTCTCTTGCGACTTGATTCATCTGAGGGAAGACTCCTCTTTCCTGCTTCTGCCTTGACGATGTGGGCACCCAAAACACCTTCCAAAGGCCAGTGGTTTTTTTAGAACTTGAAATGGGGGTCATGGATTGCATTGACAATCTTGACAATATCCGGATCCTGTTCCTCATCTTACCAAATTGGAAACATATCCGCCAAGTCCTTAGCCACACAGCACTGTATGCGAGCCTGGAAAAACACAATAAGTAAATGAATTACTAGCCATATGAAGCCTGGAAAAACTACGTATGAAGTCTACCATTGAAGTCTACTTCTGAAGTCTACAACTGAAGTCTCACACTATCAATGGTTACATATAGAAGTCTACACATGAAGTCTACTACTAAAGTTTACTTTGAAAATCCATTACTACATAGAAGTCTACTACGGAACAAGACTTCTAAACGAGAATGACTACACTAATACAGTACATGTTTTAGCATGTTGGCTTTGACGTTCTTTCGTCCTCTTGATCCTTTGTAAGCCAACATAAGAGGTGAAATATCATTTGGCAATGGTTCGCCAAATTCAGCAGCAAAATCCGGCAGAGCATAGTACACCCACACTTGAAGAGCTTGCACAAATCCTTCTATATAAATGTTTTTGCTGAGATCTTTCTCCTTAACAGACTTGATCAGATGATGAAAAGCAATTCTTCCCCATGGAAACTCCTTAAAACCTTCGAGATCCATCACTAGTCTGGCATGGTTGACATTTGTGGATAAGCCAGGTCTCGTTGCCAATATGAAACCAGCGTAGATCCCAAGATATCCCAACCGCAGCCTATCATCCCAAGACCATGATGAGCAGTTGGAACAGGCTTCAATAATTTCGATAGTGCTTGGGCCCGACTCGACATCGACCCCCATTAGCTCCCAAAATGCATGCATGTCATCGGAAAGCTCAAGATCAGTTACAGCCAAGTCATCCACGTACCCGCAGTTGAGTCCGGTGATCTCCTCAAACTCATGCAATGAAAACCAAACTGGAGTGGTACCAATCAGGCTCCATATCTCGTACCTCTGCTTGCAAACTATCTGAAAGGTCAGCATGTGGTGGACCAGCCTAGAAGCCCAACCAAAATCCAAGTCGTGGAACTTTAAAAAGACACCCAACGGTGACTCGTAAATCTCCTCCCATTCATCCTCTTGTAGAGCTGACTTTAGTGCAGGTACCAGCCTATAATTATCAGCATAATAGCCGATGCTTTTATCCGGGGCTGGCTCACCGCCTTTGGTGTACAGTCTTCTAGGGAATTCAGAGGCCACCATTATCTAACACAGATTTCTGCATCAGCGGTAACAAAGCTCTAATGAGAAAAACTAATTATAACTAACGGTTTGAAACTATACACGAATGAAGTCTACTTTTTCAAAATGAAGTCTACTTTTTCAAAATGAAGTCTACTTTTACAAACGAAGTCTACTTTTTGCAAAACGAAGTCTACTTTTTGCAAAATGAAGTCTACTATTGCCAAATGAAGTCTACTTTTTCAAAATGAAGTCTACTTTTACAAAATGAAGTCTATTTTTTGCAAAACGAAGTCTACTTTTTGCAAAATGAAGTCTACTATTGCCAAATGAAGTCTACTTTTACAAAATTAAGTCTACTTTTTCAAAATGAAGTATACTTTACAAAATTAAGTCTACTTTTTGCAAAACGAAGTCTACTTTTTGCAAAATGAAGTATACTATTGCCAAATGAAGTCTACTATTGCCAAAGGAAGTCTACTTTCACATTGTTAGTACAATCCAAGTCGAGAAGTCTACTGAAGCCAACCGAAGCAATCTAAACATAAAAAAACAGTATATTAAGTCAACGGAATCCACATGAAGCAATAAAAACATCATAAATACTGCATATGCAGTCTACTGAACCCAACCGAAGCAATCAATACATGATAAATACTGTATATGAAGTCTACTAAAACCAATCATCCAAATGGAATCTACAAAGTTTATAGTGTTTACCGCCGTTATTAGATGAAGCTGGCGTCGAGAAAATGCAACCAGATCTGGGAAAAAAAACCTAACTCAAACCCGACGGACAAAATTACAGGAAGATAGAAGAAATAGGAGAATTGCTAAGTATATATCTTCGGAAGGACATCTACTAACCGTTTTGAGGAAGGAAATGAAGTTAACCTCCAGTGGCGAAAGCAGATCTGCAAAAAAAAAAAACCCTAATTTCAGATCTGGACACTGGTGGTTACGAAAACGGAGAAGTGATGAATACGGAGGAGTAGGGAAGCATGGGGGTGTGGTTGGAGAAAGAAAACTTGCCTGAACGGGTTTATCGGCGGCGGTTCTGTAAGTCGGCGGCGCCGGAAAAGAGAAACAGAAATCGCCTTCGACCTTTTTCTTAACACGAACTTTCGACGGTTTTTCTTAACGGGATCTGTAAAATTCGTATATATAGTCTGGTAATTCCGTTTGGTTCGGGTAAGTTTTTTCGGTGAGGGTTACTATTTACGGGGTCTAGGTAAATTTACCCGGTTACGGGCAGTTTTTCTTGGTTAAGGGAAGTTATTCCCGGTTTAATTTTGGTTTAAATTTCGGTTAAGTTATTTTATTCGGTTTAGCAGACTTCAATATAGAAGTTTACAACTTTTAAAACCTAAATAATAAATTTACTTCTACTTAATTTAAAAACATACATTTCCATTTAGCAATATGAAAAAATAATTTCTGTACATTTGGGTTACGATTACGGAATTTATGAATGTAAATTTGATACCAAAATAATTTTTTAAAAATTTTAAAATTAAATTTCCAGATTTAATTACTTAGTAGACTTCATTTCGATAAAAGAAGTCTACTATTAGACTTCTTTTTCTCTTTAGTAGACTTCGTCAGGGTGTAAACGGTAATTAGGACATCCGTTTTTTGTTTACTCATACAGGATTAAATGGTCTTTTCACTACCCTTTTAGGTTATTTCTGCCAAATGTTTTTTCAGAGGTCTACTTTTGTATTCAAAATCAAGTTTTAGGTTATTTTTAGCAAAACCTCTTAAATTAAACGGAGAGTTCAGTAATAATTGGCTATATATCTATACATGCAAAAGTCTATAATATATAGTAATGAATTATTGAACTCCAACATAATTTAACATGTTCAGGAAATAATTTTCACTACAATTTAAAACAGATCAACGTAACTGGTGCAATTTTGACAAATAGAAAAAGATTGACAAATTAAATGATGTAAAATATCTTAAAAAATAAACAATGAAAAGGATCCCGCCCAGTATCATAGACATGCAAGTCTATAAAATAGTAATAAATTATTGAAATCCAACATAATTCAACACTGTGAGGAAATTATTTTCACTATAATCAAAAACAAATTAACGTAAGTGCATGGTGCAATTTTGGCAAATAGAAAAAGAACAACAAATTAAATGATGTAAATTATCTTAAGAAAATAAATAAAGAAAAAAAATTCAGCCCACTATCACGTAAATGCAGCAAACAAAAACTAACGGGTGAAATTAAAAGCTGAGAGTTATGAAATATCATACTTGGATTATTTTCCTTGCGTCTTCGCCTGTATAGAAATCTTCAATTAAGATTTGCTACGTAGCATTTCAAACATTAGCAGGTATGGAAACACTACTGGAGAGCAGCATTATAGTAAACAGCTTACGCAAAAAAAAAATCCGAGATCCAAACCTTTTTTCTTTAATAGTGATGTATTCCTTATCATTGTCTAACAAACCAACTGCATGCATCCCGAAACTCAGCGTACACAACACCTTTTATCGTCTTTAATTATGCGAATGACTATACAATGAATCAACACATATTAGACAGCTTGAGGATTCTAGCTTTGTGAAAAAAACCATATTTTTTAGGTGTTTAGTCCGCGCCTTACGCGGATGAATAAGTTTTATCAAATAATCAAATTACTAAATTCATTACTGATAAGAAACCAAAAAATATAATAACAAGACATATGATTAACCAAAAAAACTAAAAACATAATAACTAATTATTTTATTTTATTTTCAGCCTCTCTAGCTATAAATCCCTTATTTTGTGGAAATGGTATTTCTTCTCGTCAATTTTTAATTTTCTCGCAAGTACGAATACAAAACCATGGTATAAGAACATAGATAAACATTATTGTAATAGCTTTGATATCATATTAAATTTTATCTCTAAATGGTCATTATTTGTATACATTAAGTTTGATGATTTTAATTCTTCATTTTCCTTAGCTGGAACTCTTTCTATGCTTAGCTATAATTGTCCTTTCTTCTTGTTATTTTTTATCTTTCTTACAAGCACAGACACAAAACTATGATATTAGAACGTAGGTAGATAATCCTTTTAATAGTTTTGGTATCATGTTTAATTTCATCTCTAAAGTAGTTATTATTTGTATACATTAAATTTATTAATTACTTTACTTTTTAATTATCTTTAGTTGTAAATCCCTTCCTATTTGTCAAAAGTATTCCTTTTCTCATTGGTTCTTATCTTTTCGGCAAACACAAGCATAAAACTATGGTAAAAGAGTGTAGGTAAACTATTTATATTATCTATAAATAATCATTATTTATATATATTAAGCTATGAAGATTTTAATTCATCTTTCTCCCTAGCCAGAACTCTCTCCTTGCTTTGCCGAAATTGTCCTTCTTTCTAGTCAGTTCTGATCTTCGTGCAAACATCAACATGAAACTATGATATCTATGTATAACAATCCTTTAGTTTGCATGACCCTTGCACATGCATGCATAGCTTAAAATTTTAGTTTTTTACTTTTATAATTGGTAATGTGATCGTTTTTTACTTTTATAATTGGTAATGTGATTTGAATATTAGTTTTTATTAATTGGATCACAATAAAAACTGAAGTTGAATAACGTTTATAATTAATGGTTAAACTACTAATTATATTACTTGTTGAGTGAACATAAAAAACTACTTATTAGAATATTTTAATGTCAAGAATAAGACTAAAATGTTTTATGTTCACCACCATCAACAATGTCCCCCGCTTGTTTTTTTTCTTTTATAAATATTGAATCTTTGTCTCACTCTCCACATAATCGTACAATGTTTCTCACATGTAGTCATAACATCAAGGAAATAGAAATCATAGAGCTAGTGAGCACAATAAATAATGTTCCTTTGACTTAGACATTGTATTTAGAGATGGTTCTTTTTCTTTCGCTGACTAATTCTTGGCCTCTCTCCCTCTTTGGACCTTCTTTCCTGTTTTGCTAGAGGTGTCTTTCTTTCTTGTCGGTTCTTATATTATCTTCTCCTTCTTAATCGATTTTTATATTATCTTCTTCTTCTTAATCGGTTTTGACTTCTACATCTTCTTTGATACGTTTGTGTCTTCTTGAACTTTTCTTCTTCTTCTTTCTCCTTTGAATTGTCTTCGTATTTCTCTTCGGTTTTCATTCATCATAGTCTTCATCTTCTCTGACTTATTGTTCTTCGGATTTTTCTTCATCCTGTCTTCATCTTCAACTTCTTCTGCTTAGTCTCCTCATCTTCTTATTCTTTATGATTCGTCTTGTCTCATCCGTCTTCTTATTTTGTTCCTCATCTTTTCTTTACTTCTGCTTTATTGGCTTAGCCTTCATATTCTTCGTCTTCTTTACCTATTAACCAAGCCCTCACTCTTCCATATCACCACCATCACCGCACCACAAGACTATCTTCTTCTTCGTTTCCTTTTATAGGTTTCAAACACACTACAGCAATGCAGGAATTGATAAGTATTAGTGAAAGTATTCAAACAATACAGGAATCAAGAAGACATAATGTTGGATCAGAGAAAGGCGGAGCCACACACACTACAGAAACTGATTCTCAATCCCATCAAAAAGGTAACTGAAAGGAGGCATCTCTGTATACTTTCCAATTCTTCTTGGTAAAACTTCAAGTTCCATATAAAACTTTTATCCATTATTGAAATCATAGTGAAAGAATCTGAATTATGGCCTAGACTCACATGACAATTCCTAACAACCACTAGACAATGATTTCTCTTCAAATAGCTTTTCCAGTCGGTTTTTCATTTAAACTCTAAAACTAAAGTTAGAATCAATCTTCCGTAAGAGAGTGGATAGATCCTCAACTTCCAATAATTTGTCCTTAAAACATGGTTTACAATATCTCTCTCTTACAAATCACGTAACAATGAGTGAAACATTTATTATTATTTTTTTAATCAGTTTGATATGTACCTTCCTTACTCTGTTGTTTCCTTTATTTACCAAACCTCAAGGACCGAAATATTCTCCTAAAA